GGGGGGGGGGGGGGGGGGGGGGGGGGGGGGGGGGGGGGGGGGGGGGGGTATGCGTTGCCTGTCTTAGTCTCCCGCTTCTCTCACGAGGCAGTCTCGTACAAGGTGGAGCACCGATCCCACTCCTATTGTAGACATTCCTACGTACACCTCACACGATCGGGTGCTCTGGACGTTGCTTCTTCCAGATGTTATTCCACACGAATGAATTCTTGCTTGGTCTTGTCCCCTTTTAGTCTGTCATCTTCCACCCTATGTAACCAACCTGTTCTGCCGGAAGTGGCTAAACCCTTTCATGACTCTCGGAAAAGGAACACCCTTCCAACACTCGACAAGTGGCGAGGTTGAGCTACGTACTACAGCTACGCCATATATGGCGCTGTCGCACGCGTTCGCACATAACCCCACGCTAAAAACAAAACTGCTGAGGATGAGCACTAGACAGAAAAACTTCGCGCGTGAAGCGGCAACACGCTTTTTGGGGTTGTCCGGTGACCACGTAAGGCGTTCGTGTCGGTTGGACAGGTACGGATGTCATAAGGTCCCCAAATCAGAGGCCGGACGGTTTTTAACGTCAAGACGACGACGGAAGCAACATCGACTACCTTCTGCCACTCCTGTGTACCGTACCGAACAACAACAACAACAACAACAGCAGCAACAACAACAGCAACAACAACAACAACAACAACGACTACTGTTGCTACTCGTGTGAACCGTAACCAACAACAACAGCGAGGACGACGACCACCACACCACTTCTGTGGACCGCACCTGCCACCGCGGCCAGGGTGCCGATCTTAAACTCGGGAGAGGCCGCGTTAACGTTAGCGTTGGCCTCGAGGTGGCTCCCGAACAGATCCCTCTCGACGATGCAGCTCACGTCCAGCTTGCGGTGGTTCCGGAAGAAGGCCTTTTCCAGCTCCGAGTAGAGGGCGAAGTCCTCGGCCTTCTCATTGAGCCAGACGACTGAGTGGTGCACACGTTATATTATTCCTTGTTGTTGTTAAGGGGAAAAAAATACACACATTTTTTTGTTGTTGTTGTTTCCAGTTCAAATGCAGAAACACCATCCAACGACGCAGTTAAGAACGATTGGCCATCGCCGACCGGTCCTGTCAATCATTCGTTCTCTCAAGGATGCGTGGCCAACGGTCTTAACAGTTAGGGCACGCCAAAACATGACCCCGGCCCGTCCCTACATGAAAGCCACCGCCTGAGGGCTCCGTGTGATCGATTTCTTGTCGTAAAGCAACAACAAAATAATCATAGGGACATGAAGACATAAAACCCGGGGTGAATTCCCTCACCCATCCTTAAGCTTATTCGTGCCTGACAATGCCAACCCGGC